CAAAATTTTCCTTCCCCTCTATGTTTTCACTGTGTTTTCTTAATTGTGCGTGTATAGCTTGCTTCTCTGATTTCTCCCATAACAGAAGTCTTCTAGAAGCAACAATTTTCAACCCTTTTCATCTCATGGCACATGGAATCTGGTTACTAAATCCTGCAGCACACACACAAAATACATTTTTTTTGCAGATGTGACAAAAAATAGGTATAATTTTGATTCATTCACACCAGCAGCTATGGTTATGTTGGCTGTTTTTTTATTTGACAGTCTAAGGGAAAGGAGGTCAGTGCCCCTGACTAAACAGTCAGGCATTGCATATTTTAAAAATTCTTGCAACACACCGCTTGATAATTGCTGGTCTAGAGGGTTCTGAGGATTTTACTTGAGCAAGAGCAAACAGTTGCTTATCTACAGATGGGAGACACTTTGAAAAGGACACTTCTCTTGGGAAAATTAGGGCACACTTTGGCTTACTTATTTAATAAAACAACAGTTTTGAGTTATTCCCGTGTGGATTCCCCAGATGACTTACATTTCTGAGATGCACGCCACCACCATAAAGAGAGAGAGTTCAGTGAAGTTAAAAAAAAAAAAAAAAAAAGTTAGTTTAATTGCTCTTCATGAAAAAATACAAATTTGAATCCAGAAGTACCCCTCCTACTCATGAGAACGTAGAATTAGGCGCAGCTAAGCACAGTGCAGTGCATATCCCCGCCAAACTCCGGTGCAATGTGTACCCCCACCAAACTCTTCCCGTACCCCTGGGGGTACGCGTACCACACTTTGGGAAACACTGGTTTAAGCCATATGTCTGCCTTCAGAGCATCAGTTGACTAGTATCAAGAAGAACCAACAGCTTTAGGGTCCAGCAAGAACAGGACTCCAGAAAGACAGATCAACTTATCTTCGTGCTTCTCACCCACATGTTGTCAGTACTCAGCAGCCTCTATCACAGGGTCCGTGTCAGCTCTTAATATTCTGAGCTAGATAAAAACACAGGACACAGCAGCCAGTGGAGTCTCCACCTAAGGAGTCGTTTTTTAGATCTGCTCACTGCCACCCACATTTCCTCTGTTGACACTGTGTTTTGCTAAACATTGGTTGTGTTTGTTTGTTTTTAGTCTGTTGATACACGTTCCAACAGCTGGTATGTTTGACATGACCTATACTTTTTAAAAAATTGCACTTAAAGCACTATATGAGTTTGCTAGGGCTGTCAAAACAAAGCTCCACAGACTAGATGGCTAAGCAGAAGTCTTTTTCCTCACAATTCTGGAGTCTAGATGAAGTCTGGGATGAAGGTGTTGGCAGGGTTCATTTCGTCTGAGACTTGTCCTGTAGATAGACGGTCCTTTTCTCCCTGTGTCTTCACATCGCCTTCCCTCTGCGTGTGTCGTGTGTCATTCTCTCCTTTATGAGGACAGTCATTGAATTAGGCTCCCCATAAGGACCTGTCCTGTAGATAGACGGTCCTTTTCTCCCTGTGTCTTCACATCGCCTTCCCTCTGCGTGTGTCGTGTGTCATTCTCTCCTTTATGAGGACAGTCATTGAATTAGGCTCCCCATAAGGACCTCTTTACAAACTCTACCTCCAAATATAGTCACATTCTGAAGTACCTGGCATTAGGACTTACACATTTGAATTTGGGGTTTGAGAAGACGTAATTCAGCCCATAGTACACTCTTTACAAATGATCTTTTAGTAGCTCTGTCACCTCTGCTAGCTATTTGAACTAGAAAGCAAGAACTAGATTCTCTTATTGCAGTCCCCAGAATCCAGCACTCCCCAACCACTGCAGGTGATTCACAAACTCATGGCGAATGCATGCATGACAAAGGTATTTTGAATTATTTGAGAGCAAGGGTAGTAATCGTCATAGATCCTTCCTCTGCAGTCTTTCATTTTAAAGTTTCCAAACAACACTGGTATAAGAAGGAACAAAGCTGTAATGTAAGGGGCATATATTTCCAATAATTTACCACCTTTTCCCTAAATCTCAAAAGGAAGTTTAGTGTCTCCTTTAGATATCATTTCCAGGGATATGCTCAGTTCTTAAGAGACCAGGCAGGCAGGTTTTCAGAAGGTAACAGACCCCTCTCTCTTTGGGCTTAAGGTTCTGATTCTGAAGGAGAAGAAGAATTTACCACAAGGCCAAAGTGACACTTCATTTTTCATAAAGGATGCAGATTACTTTATGACTCAAACACTAAAATATGCCTAATTTAGAAATGCTCTTGGCAAATCTGTGGCTAAATTAATGTTTCAAAAGAACAAATTTGCCGAAACCGGTTTGGCTCAGTGGTAGAGCGTCGGTCTGCGGACTGAAAGGTCCCAGGTTTGATTCCGGTCAAGGGCATGTACATTGGTTGCGGGCACATCCCCGGTAGGGGGTGTGCAAGAGGCAGCTGGTCGATGTTTCTCTCTCATCGTCGTTTCTAGCTCTCTATCCCTCTCTCCTCCTCTCTGAAAAAATCAATAAAATATATTTTTTTAAAAAAAATTTGAGGTAGGTGGGGAAGTTTGCTCAGCCACAGGTTTTGCTATCAGATCCTGGTGTTCCTGAATTATTTGGCCAAACAAATCACTGACTGTTTTTCTTTTTAAAAAGGCAAGTTCTTGGCAAAATAAATTTTAAGAATAAGTTTAATAATTTCTGGGAAGCCAACTATTTTTTCCCTACAAGTCAGACTTGGGTGGCTTTAGAACTGAGGCTTTGAAGTAAAATGCTAAAGCAGTGTGATTTTGCTAAAGTAGAATATTACAGAAAAATCACAAGAACACAGATATAACATTTACTTGATTTTGCTTTTCATTGCATCCATGTGCCTACTGAATTTCGACATGTATTTTTATCAACATGTTTGGTTTGCAGTGAAACTTTATTACTCATTAATATGTGTAATATCTTCAGTGGTACTTAAAGCATGCTTTTAAAAGTAGTAACGAAGAAATGTAATAATTTTTACAAATTTATAATAAGTGAACTGATGGTTGAACTTAACTTAGGACTTCTAAAATTCAACCCAAACTGGGATTTTGTGTGCTGTGACCTTGTTTTAAGCTTTTTAAAAAGCATTTTTTTCTTCCCCCATTCCTGGTTAAAGGGCATATAAGGGTGGTTCTCTTTCCCAAACAAGGTAGATGGTAGAATTCTCTCAGAAGGAGCTGGTCAAAGCCTCGAAAGCTGCCGAAACCGCTTTGGCTCAGTGATAGGTCTTTGGACTGAAAGGTCCCAGGTTCGATCCTGGTCAAGGGCATGTACCTTGGTTGCAGGCACATTCCTGGTAGGGGGTCTGCAAGAGGCAGCTGGTCGATGTTTCTCTCTCATTGACGTTTCTAGCTCTCTATCCTCTCTCCTCCTCTCTATAAAAAATCAATAAAAAAAAATTATTAAAAAAAAAAAAAGCCTCGAAAGCTGAGCAAGAGGAAGGAGGTTGGGGGAAAACACATGGCCCGGAAAGTAGACCCAATGCAAAGTCAGAAAATTGTCCCAGTTCTTACAGAATGAGCTCTCAGATATTTAAGACTGAAATGTATGTGTTGGCTGTGGACTGTGTGATTTTTGAAAGAGAGGTGGTAGCAATTTGCATTCTGGGATCATTCAAGAGCTTCTGGTTAGTAGGAAAAATTGAAGTTCAGAATCTGGAAACCAGGTTTGAGGGTAAGTCCTATCCTACATTGACTGTGTGGCTTTGGGCAAGTTGGTGACCTTTTGAGTTTCAATGTTCTCATCTCTGTAATGATAAGACCTATTCCCAGGCTTCTTGTCAGGATTAATTAGTTAATGTATGCAAAATTGCTTTGTGGACTGGGATGTGCCATAAAAGTTACTGGGGTAGGTCAAAGTTACTGTTAAACTATCCCAAAGAACTAACACAGCCATCCACTTTCCTACCTCAGACCTCCACACAAATGGATTGACTGGGACATTGAAAACTTCCCAGTTAGCCCAGTGATTAGGCTACCACATTTGGTGCTTTCAAAAACAAAAACTGCATGTAAGTCTGTTTGTTAATTTAATGTGATGTGATTCTTACTATTATTTATTAAATGTAAGGCTTATTTGTAGCATTTAGAGATTCAGATCTGGAGGAAACCCTAACTAGTTCCCTCCCCTCCCTTCAAGAAGGGCCGGCCTTATATCAAATGTAATTAGCTCTGAGTTAGGTTGTTAAATTCTGTTTCTAAATTTCTTAAAGTAGGTTTCACATTTTTTTCCTCTGCTAAGATCTTTCTTACAGCTGACCTAAATCTGTAGTAGTAATTTAAGTCCTAATCCCTGACTCCTGTCTTTACTAGAGACGGAGAACAGCTGGTCAGCAAACTTCTTATGATAATAACCCCTGTATATGTGTTTAAAGAAGAGTTCCTCAGTACGACTCACTCTCTCCTCCCCATCCCACCCCTGCTCCCCAACTCCCAAATTCATCTACTAGTATTCTCTGTGTCATTCATGGGGATGTTGCCCCTCTCCCTGCCCTCTCGCTCAGACACTTTGCTGTTTTCAGCTGGGCAGGGTGTTGTTAGTGGCTGCATGGACCCGGGAGAACGCAGGCTGCTGCTTCCTCTCCTCCTCCTAAGAAATGATCAGGATAACCCCTGACAGTGTGTGATGGGTGCATGGCACATTATGTCATAAACATGGGGCTTTGTAGGGATTCTTATCATAGGTTATGTTGAAAGCACCTTAGTTTGCTCAGCCAGTCGTGCCATGAAGCTGCCACTTGGTGTGCTAAAGATAACGGTGATGGATATCCCATCTCTATTGGACCTAGCCTTGCAAGACGTGGAGCTAAAACTCTCCTGAGTGCAGCAAACATGCAGAAGCACACTAACAGCCTGAAGGAGGTGGAGGGCTTCCCCAGCACTTTAAAGTTGCCATGGGGAAGGGGAAGTAAGTGATCCTTGAGAAGGATTGAGCTCATTAAACTGATCACTGGTGGTTTCAGTGTGGATCCTGTTCTTAATCTAAATGTGTGTACTCTTATGTCTCTTACAGGATGATTACCCAGAGCTTTCTGTCTGGGTCAGCCAAGAACCATTTCCAACTAAGGAAATGGAGGGAAGGCTTCCTAAGGTAAGATCCTTAAGCTGCTATTTTGTTAGTATTTTAAAATGTAGAAGCAATTTAAAAAGTCAGATTTATTCATTTTTCATTTTAATACCCAATATAGTCAACTCTATTAATTCAGTTATCTGATACTATTATGACCTTAGAAATAATGTATCCTAAAAAAAAAAAAATCATATCCAAAATTTGTGACTCTTAAATTTCACATTATCTTCCTTTCTTGACAAGCCAAAGCAAATTTTCATTTAATAATCATGGAATCAATGTATATTTTACAGATTTTTTAATTTGTTCCATTCCTATGTAAAGTCAAATATGATGCTCAAACTAAAAGATATCTTAAAAGGATAAGATGATGACACCTTTGTCTGGTAATAATGCCTGGATATTTGATAAGATTACCTGGGAATCAAAATAGAAAGCAAATTTAAAAAAAAAACTGTTATATTTCTTCCTTTTAATTTTTAGGCCAAAAATGTGTTCTGTAAAATGCTTTCATTGTGCTTACATCTTAGATGTGACAATTCTCTGCCTTTTAAAAAAAAAAAATTGTAAAATGTACATTTTAGATTTTAGCCCCATTTCTGAAGAGAAAAAAAAAAATCCAACACAAACATTTAAAAAAATTTTTTACTAGTTTTTACTATAGATACCTTTGGACTTTGCCTTTTAGGGTAAATATCACTTAGCAAGAGGATTGTAACTTTTTACCACTGACCTGCTGAGTTTGCAGCTAATAAAGAAAAATAGAGTCCATTGAAAATAAAAATTAACATTTAAAAGTTTCATATGTGTAATTGACCAATGATGAAAGTTACCCAGCTATGACTGGTATTTCAATTTTGAAAAACTCTCTTATTTACACTAAACGGTTTCAGCAATTCTCTACCTTTTACTGGCAGCCAGAATTTGAAGAGATTGTGTTAACTGGCAGTTTGCACTGAAAGAAAGCACTTCTAAATCACTTAATTTTTCAGAGAATTTCTGAAAGTCAAGGTTTAAATCATTGGCAGGAAAGTAGGTGAGCAACATGATTCGGACCCTGTCTGAGCCAGACTTGGGCTGATCTTGTGGAGTTGGAGGAGTAGTGAGCTAAAATACTGGAGCTTGACTTACAACACACCTTTAGCCCGCCATCTCACCACCATAGCACCACCATCAGCAGTGTAACTGGCGACATTCTTGATCAGGACGGCTCAGGGAAAAATTCTCCTGAACAGCTAGGATGAGACCTGATAATGGAGGGAGCAAGAGAGAGTTTAGTTTTTTCATTAGTTTCTGCCCCATGCGGGCATCCTGAGACCCTCTCTTTGATACTGGTGACTGCAAGACTAGGCAAGTTTTTCAATGAGGCCAATAGTGCCTCCCCTTCCTTTTAGGCCAGTCCAGGCCCCAGGCTTTGCCTACAATGAGGCATGCTTCAGGGATTGGCACAGTGGATCCTGCAACTGAGGTCTTCTGTTAATTTTAACTTCTTTCCTCTCTAAATATATGAATAGTATCTTCAGCATAATATATTTATCCTATTTTCAGCAGTTTCCTTCTGGAAAAGCATATCTTTGCATAATCATAAAAAAAATAAATCATGACTCACTTGGTCCAAGTCACATTATTGAGTAACTGGGAAATTATTCATGTACTGACAGTCATCATCAGAGAAGCCATCCAACCTGAGATAGGTCAGTGGTAGGGGCATCCAGGAGAGCTGGTCTGTGGGAGCCAGTGGACATGTCATTCCCCTCCTCCAGCCTTCTAGATTATTCTAGTTCCCAATCCTCCAGAGATCACTATGTGCTGGACGGTGGAAGAAGATATGCTTATTTTCCTCTGAATTTTTATAAGGCCGGACATATGGAGAAATAAGACATCATTGTGTCCTCCCTTCAAAGTGCCTCCTTAGAAGCCTACAATTCCTTGAGTGGGGGCAGGAAGACTGGACTCTTCTCTTTGTTAATGACCGAGAGGAAGTAATGATTGAAATCTAATAAATTCCAGCCTCCAAAGAGAAAATGGATAGAATTTTATCTCCCCAGAAGCTCCTCTCCCCCACAGATATGTTGAGTCATGGCCCCTCAGGTTGCTTCAGTAACATATGCCCTGCATGGGCTACGCCATTGCCTTGCCTTATCCCGTTGTACTTGGCCATCTCCCATACAGCAATTCAGTTAAGGGCAGGATAGACAGCAGGGACTGTTTTCGTCTCTCTTTTAGTCTTCATAGGCTTAACATCTAATAGATGATACTGGTGACAGCAAGACTAGGCAAGTTCCTTCACAAAGAGAAGAGTCCAGTCTTCCTAATAGATGTTAAGCCTACGAAGACTAAAAGAGAGACGAAAACTCAAGCCATAATGGACTCTCAGAACATGAATAATAAATGAAGACTTGAATGTTTGGGAACCTCATAAGAGAGAAAAAGAGTAAAACTTTTGATTCCCATCTGAAATAATCTTCACGTTCTTTTTTTTTCTTTTCCTGGAAATAACCTCTCCCCAAATTGTTGAGATCCCACTCAGCTCTTCATTTCATTTTGTTAAGTATTTTTCAGGGAGGTAACAGGTTAGTAAGACTGAGACTTAAAATAGAGACAGAATAATGTTCTATATATTCACTTTGGAACAGAGTAACTCTGGAGTTAGCAATTTGAAGTGCAGTCATGTACAGAGGATAGTTGAGTGAAATAATGCTTAATGAACTTTTGATCTTTCGTCCTGGCCTCTGACAATAAGGAAACATTGAATTCTTCACTTGTCTAAAACCTAAGTTTGCCATATCTCAAACCATGAATGCTAACTGGTTGATGGGGGAGGAGGAACAAATACTATTTTAAAGACACCAGGCCCTAGCCAGTCTAGCTGAGTGGATGGAGTGTCTACCTATGGACTGAAAGCTCCCAGGTTCGATTTCAGTCAAGGGCACATGCCGGGGTTGCAGGCTCGATCCACGGTGGGGAGCTTGCAGGTGGCAGCTAACCAATGATTCTCTCTTATCATTGATGTTTCTCTCTCTCTGTCTCTCTCCCTTCCTCTCTGAAAGCAATAAAAAAAATATTTTAAAAAAATAGGCACCAGGGTCACCAGTGGATTTCTTTTCTTCTTTTTTTTAATCTTGGGATTGCATGCCAAAAATCTCAAGATTAAAATTATTTTCATAGCTCAGAGAAACCTTAAGTACATACTGAGTGGATTTGATATACGTCTTAAAAATGTTGTATGCTCTCACTGTCTGAGATTTTTAAACAAAAGTGGGCACACCAGATGTTTAGTATGAAAAATCTATAAGTGAATAAGACTTCTTGAAGTTGAATTATTTGTGATATTTAGCTCACCCAAGGGCTGATGAAAACATTGATTCAGTTTCAAGTTATTAGAAAGTTCCTGATGTCTGAATTCTTCTTACTAAGAAATTGAAAAGGGGTTATTTATAGTCACAAAGCAAGATTACCACTTTAATCCAAGTTCTTATATCCAGTCAAATCAGCTTATTATAAATGTCCTGTTAGAACATGTGACCTGAGGAAAAAAAAAAAAAAGGGGGTGGGGGGGAGGAAAGATCTTTTAAGCCACAATGGGTGATTTTTTACAAAGAAAACTGCAGTAATCAATGGTTTGTCTAACAGAGAAATGTGTCAGATCATTGCTTTCATATCGGATCGGAGCATATAATGTATTTGTGGTAGACAGGACCTCTGTTTTATATCATCCAATGGCAAATGGGGTTCACTGTCCTGTCCTGTGCTGTTTGGTTGCTATGGAGAGCTCCTTCGCATTGGTGCTCATTGTGGTTTGATTATCTTAGAAACACAAAAATCTCACTCATTGGGATTGTGATGAGAGACTTAGAATAGCCCCAGTCAGTCCCAACTCACTGACTCCCTCTTCTGCTCTTGGTTTCATGCTATCCTCCTCTTTCCTGCAACACCTTACCCCTGAGCCCCACACTCTTTCTTCCCAAACACGCCCACCTCTGATCCTCATTCTGATTCTGACCACAAGGCCCACATGGATTATAGAATAGACCTTATATCAATTACATTTGTGCATGCTGAGATATGCTTTTAAATATTTTTATTATATATTAGAAAAATAGACGATTGCCCTACTCCACCACAACCATTGAACTTGGTTTTTCTTTTTTCAATACTGCTGTGAGCACCTCTCCTCACCCAGCCTCATGTCAGGCCCTACCTGACACTAGAAACTGTCCCTGGAAACCCGACTCTTGGGGAATGCTGCCTCCCACGTGGCTGGGCAGAGCCGTTAGAGAAGCACTTGTTTCTGCTGAAGCCAAGGCGGCTGGTGTTTAATTACTTCATACCCCCGCAGACCTAATATTTACCTTCAGGTGAGCTGTGTTTAATGTGTAAACTCTGCAAAACATTGGGAGTTCAAGGATGAAAGGCAGAAATTTCCAAATGCTTTTAGAAGTATGACTAAGTGTGTCTCTCTTTGTGTGTGTTCCTCTGTGTCTGGACCCACCTGCCTTTCAGGGAAGACTTCCTGTCCCGAAGGAAGTGAACCGCAAGAAGGACGAAGAGCTGGAGGCTGCCTCCCTGACTCCACTTGGCAGCGATGAACTCTGCCCCCCGAGCATCTGTTACCTCCACTCTTTTTAATCGTAACACCTCCATTTGTATTACGTATGGTGTATGGGTATTGATGAGGTTATGGTATCATATATGGGGTTTTTTTTCTGTGTAAATCATCAAGTATAAGAAGAAACTATGGGACTCTGAGCCTTGCTTTAGAGAATGTACAGTGGACAAATAGGTATCATCAAACCAGTTTTTAATCTTTCTGACTCAAGTGAAAACGCTCAGAATTTCACACTGTGAATCCACGTTTACAACCCTTACAGGTGGGCCTTCAGGCCTGGTTCGCTCCGATGACGTCTTCCACAACTCAAACTCCCACTGCTCTCACACAACCGGTCCACTCCTGCCTGGTCACTCATACAGCTCCCGACTGCTTCTTGCAGAGGCTGAGAGTCCCCATTTTTTTTTTTTTTTCTCATTTAGATGTAACAAGCCTAGTAGTTTATGTTCATCAATTGTCTGTATATCTCTATATTTTATCCATGTACTCTTTTGATGTATAGAAGTAGTTTGAAACTCATTGTTTCCTTGTGGTAAGTGACCGAGATGCTGCCACAGGACCTGAGACACTGATGAATGGTGCTATTTTGGACTTTCAACATGCTCCTTGGCGAGGTAGCTCTGATGGAGTTATTTTTTATTTTCATGTTCTAAGAAGGTGTTGGTACTCTTGTTTCCCTGAATGTTGTTCTCTAGACTGGATTGACTTGTTTTCCTTGTGTCTTCAGTGTGGCTTTCTTCTTCAGCATTGTAGGGTGAGCGAATGCTGCCAGAGAGAGCGTGAGAGACCACGTCTCACTGGCTGGCACTCACAGACCCAAAGTCCCTGTAGCGGGAGCAATCACAAAACTGTAATCTACTTACCAAATCTCTTCCTTTTGGTAGCCTCGCCTGCCGAACTTAGAGGAAAAAAAAAAAAAAGCAATAATTGGACAGGAGTTTTTTTAGGTGTCTCTCTTGGTTCTTTTTGTTTGAAAGAATATTTGGGGGGAATGGGAAAACTTTTTTTTTAATAAATGACCTCTAAAAAAATCCAAAAAAATCACCTGGCATTTGAGTGGAAATAGGGAAATTATACTTCCCCAAATATTAGGTCGGGAAAAATATCTTTGCAAAATGTAAAAGGAAAAAAAACAAAAAAAGGTAGATCGCTCTTTTTGATAAGCAAGGTATAGATGTTACATTTTTGTCCTTGCTCCCAGTGGAATGGGTAAACAAACAAAAAAAATCAGAAATACCATCTACTCACGGAATGTTGTTGCGTTAGCCAGTCTGAAAGCCCACCTTAATTTTTTATATAACTGTCTTTTAGCGCTTCCTTTGACAGGGTAAGCTCTGTGCTGAACTGTTCCCGCTTCTGACTGTTAAACATCGATGATGCATGCACTGCCCTTCGTCCTCTTCTTGCTCCCCCGTTGGCCTGAGTTCTCGTGCATTTCCCTTCTCCCTCCTTTGTTAGAATAGGTTATCAGCTGTGTAAATAGAGCAAGAACAGTATTCTGCATCTGTGGCATTTATGTAGTTGCAGTTGTGTACTGACAATGCAGGCTTTTGTAGCAATGTGATCTTTACTGATGCACTCATGACAAGTACCCAATGTATTTTAGTAGTATTTGTTCAATAAATATACAGGCTGTAAGGTACCTGGCGTGGCTCGTCATTGGAAAGGCCTGCTTTAGAATGCTCTCACGGGTTCATGTTAATGCGCGTGTTCTCAGAGCCCCCACAGTAGGCCCAGGGGCAAATATCAAAAGGGATGGAATCGGCTCTGCCTTCCACACATTTTCCCTTTGGAGGGTTTTAAGAGATTAGGAGCCTGGCACTAGCTCATTAGGGTGGAATTTGCAGAGCTGCCTTTGGATACAAAGAAGAATTAAACCCAAACCCTTTTATTTCTACACTTTTTTTTTTTTCTTTTCCCTTTTCTGGGCACTCCCACACACCTCAAAACTTAATTCTCTCTTACTCCTTCCTTACCATTAGAAATTACTCTGTGATGTTCTTTTTATTTTTTATTTTTAAATTGATTTTAGAAAGGGGGAGGGAGAGAGAGACAGAAACATCAATGATGAGAGAGAATCATTGATCGGCTGCCTCTTTCATGTACCCTACAGGGGGTTGAGCTTGCAACCCGGGCATGTGCCCCTGACTAGAATCAAACCTGGGGACCCTTCAGTCTGCAGGCCCAAGCTCTATCCACTGAGCCAAACCAGCCAAGGTTCTCTGGTATTCTTTATGCCAAAAGAACAGACCAAAGGTTTATATTCATAAGAAGATTAAAATTTGAGATATAATTTTAAGTCATTAGTTCATATGGATCTAGCTACCTGAAATCTTGCAGTTGGTAGATAAGATGGCATCAGCAGAACCTTCTGGAGGTCTCACATAAGAAACTCTGCAACTCAGGAGATTCACTCTCCAGGTGCATGAGAAGTGCCCGCTGCTGCTCCCTTCTCATCCTAATGAGAGTGAAACTTCAACTGGAATTACACAAAAGTTGCTAAATTGGCTGGTTGGATTCAGATGTTTGCGTTTCACCTGAATGAAGGCCAAGGAAAAGGCCCTGAGGTAAGAGGCAGTGAGAAAGGGAGAGGAACAAAAGGTTGCTCCGCCCCAGTATTTACCCTGAACTTTAACCTGAGAGAAAGGAGCCTTAGGGCAGAACTAAATCCCAGCTGCCTAACAGATAATCAGATTTGTTCAATCTGAAAAGAAATTCTTAAAATGGAGTGACCAACTACCTCTTTTGGTATATCCATCCAGAGATTATTACTGGTGAATGTAAGAGAACTCCTCCTTAAACTGAATTCCTTCTCATCTTATAAACAATCACTGTTTTCTTCACCCAACCAGCTCCCATCACCTGCGTGTTATCACAACGGTGAGGGGGATACATCTTGCCTTCCCGCCCTTGCTAAACGGAACAACAAAGGCCAGGCCATTTAGTTATTTATTAGTTATCTATTTCCCATCTCTATTAGTTATCTATTGCCACATGACACCTTACATCTCGAAACACAACCTTTATGGATCTCACAGATTCTGGTCAGGAATTCAACAGCAGTTTAGCTGTGGGTTCTGACTCGGGATCTCTCATGAGTTTGTAATCAAGATGTCAGGTCTGCGGTCATCTGAGGGCTGGGCCAGGGCTGGAGGGTCTGTTCACTCATGTGGGCGAGAGAACTCAGTCCCTCCACGTATGGGCCTCTCCATAGGGAGGGCCCACGTCCCTCCCTTACACGTCCTCATGACCTCTGGCTTCCCTCAGAGCAAGCACTTCCAGAGAAAGTGTGGTGCAGGCCATACTGCCTGTGACCTCAGAAGATGCCATCATCATCATCCTTTTCTATTCATTAGAAGCAAGTCACTACACTCACAGGGAGGAAATTAAGTTCTACCTCCTGAAAGGGTGAGTATCGGAGAACTTCTGGGTGCATTTTAATGGTGGCACACCACCTTACGTTAAAGTGCTCAGGGCAGTTGTAGACCATAGATGGACAGTGGGTGAGGAGAGCAGCCAGACACTATAATATTGGGGCTGCATCGCCTTCATTTACAAATACAAATGCCATTGGCCCCGAAAGGAATATTTAGAGAATGTTATTGGAAGCCATAAAATCAGGAAAGCAAGGATAAACGATGTCTAAAGTTCTATCCAACTCCTTGGACTTGAGTTTGCTGGTCACAGCTCCCTTGGCCTCCATGAAGCTTGACCCTACTCTTCACTTTTAAGTAGCAGGACCCATGTGAGAAGACCAGCTGAAGTTAATATTAAAGTTAATAACTGCTGAGACAGCCCAGAAACTCGAGCTCTAGATGGAGTCCAAAGTGTTGAACCCAAACTTTGTTTAAACACTGTTTTATTCTCTCTCTGAAGGCAAAAATATCACAATGTTGCCTCTGGGCAGAAATTGATAACCCATTGCCATGTGCCAGATATGACCTGTAGATTAGTTTTGTTTTGCCTGCTGTGTGTTTTATAAAAATGTTGATTTAATTGCCAACATTTACAAATGGAAAGATTTCACATGAAAATGCAGGTTCCCACTTCCCTTGAAAAATGGAGATGTAGCAATGATGGAGTTGTAACTGAGTAGCAGCCTCCACTTTTGGTAAAGCATGACCCCTTCAAAATCCAATCCTTACAATCCTTTTAATTTCTTATAAACAGTCTGCTTCACTTACATCATCTGCCTTCTTCTGTTGGTATGTGAGTTTGCAACACTGGTCCTCTGGTTTCAGGGGATGGTGATGGGCTTATTCACCAACAAAGGGCCAGGAGACCTTCAAGATCTTTATGTTTGACTAGAGGCCCAGTGCATGAAAATTCGCTCAGCCCAGCCTGCCTCCTCTCACAGTCTGGGAGCCCTGAGGGGTGGGAGGCGACCTAGTGATCAGAGGAAGGCAACACCCCATCATACCTCTGCTGCTATTGCCACCAGCACAAGCCTTAGCCGGTCCTGGTTACCTGAACCTTGGGCTGGCCCTTGGTGTCTGGGCAGCTGCCACCTGAGGCTTCTCTGAGCCTCAAGTGTTGGCTGGGCTAAGGAGACTGGGTGCCACCATCTTTAACGGCATGGCAGTCAATTAGCATATTCCTTCCTTAATGGCTGTGGGTGGAGCCATCTTTGCAATGGTGTGAGGGTCAATTAGCATATTCCCTCTTTGTTAGATAGGATAGTATAGAGCACTTGCAGGTCTATGAACACAAGATTGGAAATAGGATCCTCATTACTGTTCCCCAAACGGGCTGCTGCAGGTTGTCTCTATTTCTGGGCCTTTTGAAACTCTTCAGTTATACCACCCACACTCAGATGGAGATCTCCATGGTAAATAATATTGGACTGGGTGAGATTAGCCTACAAAGGTGTCTGATAAATTCATCATTTTCCAATGGGTAGGTGTACCTCAGGGTTACATGAAGTCTTTCCAGATCCTATATACATACTGTATTCTTTCCTAAAATTGACCTGCTGAAAATGAATCTGTGTTCATAATAGTCCTTTTCCCCACATTATAAA